ACACACGCACACGTACACACGCACGTGCACACACACAGACACACACACAACACACACAACACACACAACACACACAACACACACAACGCTTAACACCACACACCACACACCACACACCACACACACACCACACACCACACACAACACACAACACACAACACACACAACACACAACACACACAACACACACAACACACACAACACACACCACACACAACATACACATAACACACCACACACACCACACACCACACACAACACACACAACACACAACACACACAACACACACACAACACACACAACACACAACACACAACACACACAACACACACAACACACAACACACACAACACACACAACACACACAAACACACACAACACACAACACACACACAACAACACACAAACACACACACACACACAACACACTCAACACAACAACACACAACACACACACACAACACACAAACACACAACACACAACACACACAACACACACACAACACACAACACTCAACACACACACAACACACACAACACTCACACCAACACACACACACACACACCACAACACAACACACACACAAACAAACAACACACAACCCACAACAGACACAAACACACACAACACACACAACACACACAACAACAACACAAACACAACACACAACACCACCACAACACACCACACACACAACACAAACACACAACAACACACACAGCACCACACAACACACACAAACACACTACCACACAACACACAACACACACAACACACCACAACAACACAACACACACAACACACAACACACTCACAACACACACAGCGCACACACAACACACACAACACACACACACCACACACAACACACCACACTACACACAACACACAACAGACAAACACACATCTCAACACCACACAACACACACAACACACACACCACACACAACAGACACACAATCACACACAACACAACAACACACACATCACACACACAACGCACACCACACCACACACCAACACATTCACCACACAACACACACACCACACACCACACACACACAACACACACAAAACACACACAACACACACAACACACACAGAACAAACACACACACACACAACACACACCACACACACACACCACACACAACACACACAATACACACAACACAAAACACACACAACATACACACAACACACACAACACACACAACACACAACACACAACACCCAACACACACAACACACAACACACACCACACACACACACCACACGCACAACACACACAACACACAACACACACAACACACACAACACACACACAACACACACAACACACAACACACACAACACACACAACACACACAACACACAACACACACAACACACACAACACAAACAACACGCACAACACGCACAACACACACAACACACACAACACACGCAACACGCACAACACACACAACACACACCACACACAACACACCCAACACACGCAACACCTACACACCACCTACACAACACACAACACACACAACACACACAACACACAGCACACACAACACACACACACCACACACAACACGCACAACACACACAACACACACAACACACAACACACACAACACACACAACACACACAACACACACAACACAAACAACACGCACAACACGCACAACACACACAACACACACAACACACGCAACACGCACAACACACACAACACACACCACACACAACACACCCAACACACGCAACACCTACACACCACCTACACAACACACAACACACACACAACACACACAACACACACACAACACACAACACACACAACACACACACCACACACAACACGCACAACACGCACAACACGCACACTACACACACCACACACAACACACACAACACACAACACACACACACACCACACACACACCACAACACACACAAACACACACAACACACACAACACACAACACACAACACACACACACAACACAACAAACACAACACACACAACACACACAACACACACAACACACACACACACACACACACACACACACAAACACACACAACACACACACACACACACACACACACACACACCAACACACCACACACACAACACACACAACACACACACACAACACGCACAACGCACACAACACACACAACACACACAACACACACAACACACACAACACACACAACACACACAATACACACAACACACACAACATACACACACAACACACACAACACACACAACACACACAACACACACACATCACACACAACCCACACAGCACACACAACACACACCACACACACCACACACACCACACACACCACACACACACCACACACACCACACACACACACCACACACACCACACACACCACACACACCACACACACACACGCACGAACGCATACAACACCCACGCATACACCCACGCACACACCCACACACCCATACTCACACCCACAACGCACAAAACACACAACACACAAGCCACACAGCACACACAACACACAGAGATAATCACAGACACAGACACGCAGACGGAAACAGACACAGACACGGACACAGACGCCGACATCGACACAGACATTGACACAGACACCCCTCTCCCACCCACACCCCCCAACCCCACCCCGACCCGCACACCCACACCCACACCCACACCCACACCTACACCCACACCGCCGCCCCCACCTCCACCCCCACCCCCACCCGCACCCCCATCCCGAGTCCCCCCCGCCCCGCTCCCGCCCCCCCCCCCCCCCCCCCACCGCCCGCCCCTCCCGCCCCGCCCCCCCCCCTCCCCCCCCCCACACGCTCCCCCAACCCCACCCCGCCCCACCCCCCACACAAGCACAAACACAAGTACACACACCCACACATAAAAACGCAATCACAATCACAAACAACACGCGCACAGACACATACACACAGACACACACACAAAGACACACGCACACACACACACACACACGGATACACGCAAACACACACAGACACACACACAGACGAACACACAGACGCACACACAGACACACACACAGACACACACAGACACACAAATACACGCAAACACGCAGACACACGGACACACACACAGACACATACAGACACGCACACACGCATACACATGCACAACGCACGCGCACAAGCGAACGCACACACGCACACACACTCGTCGGCGGCTGGGAAGAGGTTACTGCTCCGGCGATGTGACATTAATGGGGCACACGAAATGCAAATTGGGCCGCGGTGCGCGCGAGAACGAGAGATAGCCTGGCGCGGGCGGGGTAGATTGGAAACCAGGCCCACTCAGAGCAAGTCCCAACGGCGGCAAGGTGGGCACCGGCATGGGCAGCCAGCGGCGGCGCCGGGGCAACAGCTGGGGGGGAGGCAGCCCGAAGGCAGCCGGGCGCAGGCCCAGGGGGGGGGGGACACGTTGAACTGCGAGGCGGCTGAGCACTGAGATCTTCTGAACTTCCAAGCAGAACAGCCAACGATGACCACTCCAGATGGGGGGAGCACGCGTCGGACAGCCAGGCGGCTGAGCACTGAGATCTTCTGACCTCCCAAGCGACTGAACTACCGACAATGACCACTCCAAATGGGGGCGCCGTGAGGAGCTGGTAAGGGCCCAACTGACGGGGCAGCGAGGACGCCGAGATCTACTGACCTGCGAGGCGCAGGAAGGCAGGCGGCCCGGGTACCCGAGGTGAGGGACCGGGGGGGGGGGAGCAGCGAGCGAGCAGGCCCACTGGCATAGCTGCCAAGAGGACCGCGTGCTGGCCTGAAAACCAGGCAAAGGGAGGGGGGCCGGCAGGCCTGGGTGGGGGTCAGCAGGCCAACCCACTGGCGTAAAAGTGCAGCCGCACGAGAATCAGGGCGGCGACGAGGCCAGAAGGTGGAGGCTGCTGGAGTGGGTCGTGGTGCCGCTGGGGTTGGTGTTTGTGCTGCTGGAGTCGCACTGGTTCTGCTGGAGTGGGTCGCTGGTTGGTCGTGGTGCTGCTGGAGTTGGTGGCAATGCCGTTGGTATCGGTCAGGTGTTGCTGGAGTCGCTCGTGGTGCAGCTGAGGCTGGTGTTGATGATGCTGGAGTCGCACTAGTACTGCTGGAGTGGATCGCTAATTGGTCATGGTGCTGGGGTAGGTGTTGATGCAGCTGGAGCCGCACTAGTGCTGCTGGAATGGGTCGCTGGTTGGTCGTGATGCCGCTGGAGCTGGTGGTGCTGCTGTCGGTGTCGGTCAGCGCACACGCGCACACAAAAACGGACACGCACACACAGACACACACACAGCCACACACAGACACAAACCCATGCCTAAACCCAAACACACACAAACAAACAAACACAGAAACACATAATCACAGACACACACACATACACAAGCACACAAACACAGACGCAAAACACATCACAATCACAATAAAACGCACACACACAACAACAACCACAACCGTAACCACAAATACACACAAACACAAACACAGTCACAAACACAGCCTTACTCCCAACCGCCAACACACACAAACACAAACACATACACACATAGACTCAGACACATACACAAACACATACGCAAACCAATACACAATACCAAACACAAGCACAACCACAACCACACACCACCACAACCACAAACGCGAACACAAACAAAAACACAAACACAACCACACACACGCACGCCTTTTCATCTGTCGCGCCGATGGGTTGCAATCGGCGGTTCAGAAGACGAACAAGCGGGAGTGTTCATCATAACTTCAATGACTTGTGTGGGAGCGGGGCCGCACCAGATACCCCCGAGAAATCGATTTTAGTCGACCGCTAATCAAGGACGATACGGCGAATACAGCTGAAATCGGCCTTGCGTTCCGACAATCATCCTGCATGTGTATACACATCTACATGTCTTTGTGCATTCTCCCTTTCTCTGTCCCTCGTGCCCGCCCCCCCTCTCTAACACGGTCGGAAGGGACAACGATCGGATTGGACAACCGAGCAATCCTCTCTGCAAAATTCAAACACCTGGACGGCAACATACATCCCAAACCACCTACGATATCCCCATCGTGCGACCAATGTCGCGCCAGTGTCGGAGAGTCGGAGAGAGAGAGAGAGAGAGAGAGCGAGAAACAGGAGGAACTCATAAGACAAGTGGGGGAAAGACGACGGGGACGACGGGGAGGAGAAAGAGGACTGACGAGGAGACTAGCGGGGAGGGCAGGGGGAGGAACGGCGACGACGAGGCGCAGCAAGGAGGAAGCACCGCACGCTCCCCGCGTGCTGGCCGGGGCCTTTGCCACCGCTCATTGTCCGCGGCATCCCAGCGCGGCAAGTTGTCCTCGAAACCGAGCAGGAAGGGAAAAATAGGACTTCGAAATTGAGCCTGCCTGACTCTGAGGGATAGCGAGCATCAACCAGTTCTGGCACAAATCGGTCTCTCTCTGTCTCTCTCACTCTCTCTTTCTTCTTCCAAAACACTCCCAATGGGATCAAGCACGCCGAAAAGAAACTTCGCGTGGACAATAGAACACATCATGCCTGTCGCTTCCTTCTGAAGCGATCGGAACATTAACAGTGACGGCGTAAAGACAGCACTGCCAACTCGAGCTAACCAAGGTGCCCACAATCTCCTCGACAATAATGGCTCCAAATTTCTGACCTCAGACAATGTGCAAACAATAACCAACACGACTAAACATCTCAATCACTCTGTTCCAGGTCGTCTTGAGATATGAGCCAGCTGCTTATCCTCGTCGACGTCCTCCTCCTCATCCTCCTCCTCCTCCTTCTCTTCGTGCTCCTCAGGATTTGTGCTGCTACCCCAAACATCGATACAAAGGATGGTCGCGTTTGAACCCTCATGCTGATACTCTACTGAAACACACACGCACACGCACAAGGACACAAACACACAACACATACACAACAACACACATACAACAAACACACACAACAACCAGACAGTACGAACACACACACACACTTACACACGATCACTTACACACACACTCACTTACACACCACACAACACCACAACACACCACACCACACCACACCACACTACAGCGCACCGCACCACACCACACCACACTACACAGCACACAACACCACACCACGCAACACCACACCACACAACAACACACAGCACCACACAGCACCCCACAACACCACAACACACCACACAACACCACACAACACCACACAACACGACAAAACACACCACCCCACACAACAACACAACACACCACAACACCCCACAGCACACCACAGCACACCACAACACACCACAACACACCACAACACACCACAACACACCACAACACACCACAACACCCCACACCACACCACAACACACCATAAAACACCACGACACACCACACCACACCACACCACACCACAACAAACCACACAACACCACAACACACCAGAACACACCACAGCACACCATTCAACAACACACAGCACCACACAAAAACACACAACACCGCAACAGACCACACAACACCACACAACACCACACAACACCACACCACACAGCACACAACAGACCACACCACAGCACACCACAGCACAGCACAGCATACCACAGCATACCACACAACACACAGCACCACACAACATCACAACACACAACACGACACCACACCACACCACACAAAACCACACCACACCACACAACAACACAACAGACCACACCACACCACAACACACAACAACACACACAACACCACAACATACCACACAACACCACAAAACACATCACACCACACCACACAACGCGACACAACACACCACAACACACCACACCACACCACACCATCACACCACCACACACCACACACCACACACCACACACCACCCACCACCCACCACACAACACACACACACCACACAACACACAACACACAACACACAGCACACAGCATACAACACACAACGGACAACACACAACACACAACACACAGCACACAACACACAGCACACAACGCACAACACACAACACCCAACACCCAACACACACCACACACAACTCACACCACACCACACCACACCACACAACACACAACCCACAACCCACAACCCACGACACATAACACGCAACACTCACCCATCAACACACAACACGCATAATACAACACACAACAGACAGCACAGTACACAGTACACAGCACACAGCACACTCACACACCACACCACACACCACACACCACACACCACACACCAAGCACCACACACTAAACACCAACACGCACCAACACACGCCAACACACACCGACACACACACGCACGCACACACCAACGCACACCATACATTCACACACACGCACACGCACACACGCACACACGCACACACACACACACACGCGCATGAACACAGCATGCTGTACACACGGGCAGTGCGCCCACACCGGGAAGCAGAAGGGCAATGAAGGGCGAGGTACGGGGTGCCCGCGACAGCAAAGCGAGGTGGGCACAACAGCGACGTCTCCTCCTCAGGACTCCTCCCGTCGCTCCCCACGCCGGGTCCCCGAGCGGCACGTCCGTCGGCAAGCCGAGCACGATCTTCCGCGCCAGCCGCCCGTGCGCGCCCTTGGGGTAGTCCCGCCGAGACCTGGCCCCGCCCGGCTCCTCTCGGGGCGGACGAACAGGGCAGGATAGCAGAGGGTAGGGCAGCGAGCCAAGCCAGCTCACGAGGCTGGTTCCCCTCCCTGGCACCTCGAAGCGCTGGGAGGCGCCCACGCATCGAGGGCGGGGCCCAGCGGCAGGGCCGAAACCAGGCGCCCGCGGCAGACTTCCACCCCTCCCCCTCCCCCTCTCCCTCCCCTGCCCTCTGGCCCCACCCTCGCGCGCCCCCGGCCACGGCCCTCGGCCCGCCCCGCTGCCTGTGCTGGCCACGGCCCCGGGCGGCAGCTCCTGCCACCGAGACCGGCAGTTCGCCCACGAGGGCCGACGGGCTCGACCCCTCGCCCTCGGCGGAAGCCCCGGGGGAGGGTCCGCGGGGGCTCTGCCGGTGGAGGCCGACGTGCACCTCCCCAAGAGAGGTCGGCGCCGGCGCGCTCAGGGCTTCCGGAGTCGGCCCCGTGGCTCCCGCTCTCGCTCCCTCCTCCTCCTCCTCCCTCGCCTCCCTACCCTTCTCCCTCTCCAAACCTTCCTCGCTGCCACCCTCCCTCCCAGCCTCCTCTCTCTCCTCGCTTTCTTACCTGACGTCCACGTCGTCCTTCCTCATCTTCACTTTCTTGCTCCCCCTCCACCTTCTCCCCCTCTCCTCCTCCCTCCGTCTCCTAATCTGATTTCCCCCCTCTCATCATTTCTTCCTCCTCTTCCTCCTCATGCCGCTCCTCCTCCTCCTCCTCCTCCTCCTACTCTCCTGTCCCTCCCTTCTCGTGCTTGTTCTTCGATTAGTTGACCTTTCCAGGCCCTTCCCTCTCCTCGCCTTTCCGCCCCCCACTCCCAACTCCTCTCCTCTTCCTCTCTCCCTCTCATCATTCTTCTCCGCCTCCGCCGGAATATCAGGGTACCGCATCAAGGGAGCGGGCCCCCTCTTCTGCCTCTACTGCTGGGCTCGGGTCGCTGTCGACTCGGCGAAGCTCGATTCGCTGACCATCGGCTGCCCCTCGGAGCCTCCCGACCTTGCCCGTCGCAGGGCACGCGATCTGATTGCTGGCGATCGCCACCGAATCTCTGGCACCTCCTTCGGTGTCTAACCTGTTGGGTTTTCCCTGGCGGTGAGGATCTCTCTTGCCTGCACGCCCCTCTTGGTGGTGTGCCCACTTTCTATAGGCATGGTGGCGTCTTCAAATGTTTCCTCGTTCTATGTTGCATCCTGCGCCCTCCTTCTTCTTCTTCTCCTCCTCCTCCTCCTCCTCCTTCTTCTCCTCCTCGTCTTCCCCCCACCTTGTGTTTTACTTGCTCCACGTCCTCCCGCTCGCACCCAATGAAGATCGGGGGTTTGTCCACAACCTCTCGCCTCGTCCGCCGGGTCCCAAGGCCCGCGAGGGCCCAAGGAGGGGTCCTCGCGAGACTGGGACGAGGGGGGAGGAGAAGAACGGGGCAAGAGCAGGAAAACGAGGAAGGACGGGGAGGAGGGAAGATGAGGAAGAAACACATCAGCAGGTGCAGGCAAGGAGAGGGGGAGGCGGAGGATGGGGTCCTGAACGTGCATGGGGTCAGACAAGGAGGGACTTCAGGAGGAGCGGGTGGCCTGCAGCGCTGGCACGTGCGGTGTAGGCAGCCCTGGGCGTGTCAACGTTTCGACTTCGTTTTCCCTCCTTGTCCTCGTCTCCGTCCTCCTGCCCCTCCTCCTCCTCCTCCTCCTCCTCCTCCTCCTCCTCCTCTTCCTACTCCTGTGCTCCTCGTTCGCCACGAAAGAAAGAGGTCCTGAGGGAAACGGGTCATGGACTCCCAGGCTTTCCCCGGAACCAGTTCTCCACCCCGAGTCGTCTTTTGACGGCCCCTGGGCACGTGGAGGTCCCTGAGGACCCAGCGACGAGAAAAACGCCCCAAGACTCCTGTTCTCCAGGACCCGCTTCCGTCAGGCTGACCCCTGCTCCCCCTGCGCGACGAGCGTGCGCGCTGCAGGAGGGGGGGCCTCTGGAGGCCAGACTCTGGCGGCGCTGGCGGGGGCGGCTTCTGCTTCAACTCGCTCAGCAGCGGTCCTGCGGGGCGCCCGGGGCCGGACGAGGTGCCCGGCCGAAGGGGCAGGTGGGGCTCGTCAAGGGGGAGGCACGTGGCACTGGCCCTGCCTACTGCCTATGCGGCTGCTTCCTCATTCGCCCTGCCTCTCTCCTGCACAACGCCCGGTCGTTTCTGCGCAGCCTGCTGAAGCCTGGCGCCGACCTGGACTGCGCCTGCGTTTGCTGATTAAAAAATTGCCGCACTCCAACACGCCACACGTGCGCCTCCAATAAAAAACAAGTCCGCCTGCAATGTGATACCACATTCGTGCTCATGATGTCAGGGATGCAAACGTATTGATTCCACCCAGCCCTTTGAAGACAACCAACATTTTTAGATAGCGGTGCTGCACGAGATAGACGCCGCCGCGTGTGTGCATGAAGAGAGATCGTCCGCGGCGTACCTTTTCCTGTGCAAGCACTTCGGCACCGCCTGCACCCCGGGCCCCGTCCACCCCGGCCGCCTGAGGCCCGCCCGCCTGTGCCCTGTCTCCCTAATTAAAGCTGTGCGTAGCCCGCCTAGCTTTTAGCGGAAGAGGTTCGCTCTCGCCCCGCCGACCAACAAAAAAAGTGTGTGCATGAAGAGGCGCGTCAACCGCAGTGGGGACGCCTCCAAGGGAATCGCGCTCCACCTCTTTTCCACCTTCGCTCCTCCGCAGCCGCTGCAGCAAGCGCCGGTACGCGAGAGGCGGGACGCAAAAGCACCCTCGGAGCACGGGCAGCGCACGGGGGCATGTGCAGTGCAAAAAGAACGCTGGCGTGGCCGGCTTGACGCGCAGGCTCTCTCCGCCTGGAAAACAAAAGACAAATTACGTCCAACGCGCAAAACGAAGCCTTTCGCGACCTTTTGGAATGGAAATTCTATACCAGCTGGAAACACAACCTGGTGTTCAAAAGGCTTTTTCCAGGAATTCTCTGTGCACTGAGAGAATTGAAACCCTACGTCGTAACTTTCACATGCCGACCCTTGGAGATCTCGACCAGTTCTCCATGACCCAGGCTTCCGCCTGGAGCCGCTCTCAGACAGGTCCTGGGGCCGGCAGGGGCCCCAAACCCTTCGCCGCAGCATTTGTGCCTCTGCGGCCTTCTGCTCTTCTGGGGGGCCGAGGAGGGGCAGGGGCAGGCCGCTTTCCCAGGCCATGCCCCATCGGGGGGCGGAGGCGGAGCAGCGAGGGGGGCGGGGCGGGAGAAGGCACGGGAGGCGGAACGGAGACGGGAGGCGGGAGGGGCCAGGCCATGCATGGGCAGGGCCAGGCGGGAATGCGCCGCAGGCGGGCCGGGCTGCCGTCTGCCTGCTGCTGGCTTCGCTGCTGGCTTCCCTGCTGGCTTGGGCCGCCGCCGCCTGCCCTCGCTCGTCGCTCGCTCCTCCGCGCGCCCCCTGGGTGCGCCCCGCCGCGCCCGCGGCGGCGCCTCGGCGGGCGATGGCACGCCCGTGGAGCGCGAAGCGCACAAACGCAGGCGGGCCGGGGGCGAGGGGGCGGGAGCGGGGGGGCCCACCCCTCTGCTGGCTGGGGAAACCAAGAGGTACTGATACCGCTACTCCCGGGACCTCTCCCGGGGTTGCGTTCTGACCAGAATTTCGAGGCGAATCCAGCGGTGGCGACAAGGGCCGCCCAGGAGGCCCCCCGAAGGGGGAAAACGAGGCAAGGGCAGAGGTATGGGCACCTCCTCCTCCTCCGATTTGGCGCGGCCGGCGGTCCACGCACCGCAAGCACGCCGGCGGCCTCCGCGGCCTGCCCCCGCCGCGGCGTCGGCGGGGCTGCTGCCAGCAGGGCCGCCTGCCACGAGGGGGGGGGGGGGCGGGCCTCGAGCTCCGCGGCCGCGGCTGCCCTGCCGCCCTGCCGCGGCTGCGGCTGCTCGTGCCCTCTCGCCTGGCGCTCCTCCGCCCCACCGCTCCTCAGCTCCTCACTGGCTGCAGTCGGCCCGTATCGTGGAGGCCCGACCACAAGAAACCTTCCACAGGAAACCCAACCCTGAGACCCCAGGACGTCCGTTGGCTATTGATGTGGGAACGCCACGCTGTCCACAGCAAAGCCATCGAAACCCAAGAAACCCAGGGGGCCGAGGCAAGCAGACAGGGTGTTTCTTGGCGTGGGCCTCCACTGTATCACAGGGATACGCGGTAAGGATGCAGGGGCCTTGGACGCCCACTTCGACGCTTTTCGAGCGGGGCGCGGCCCACGAAAGTGGCCAAGGATGAACCGAGGAGGGAGGGATGCAAGGGTGCCCTCGGGAACGTCTCTCATCCTTATCATGCGGAGTGGCCCAAGGTAAGAGTGACCTTTGGTGCGCGGCTTTTTGGGGGCAGCGGGGGGCCAAAAAGAAAAGGTGCAAGCTGCAACTGCCGCCTCGCGTTCGGGGATGGGGGGACCCCAATGGGCCCGCACTCAAACTTCCTCTGGGGAAAAAATATTTTAATGTCTGATCGACCTCATCGGCAAATCGCTCCGTGCAGCGCGCGTGTCGCGCACCGGTCAGAGGCTGCTCCTCGTCGGCCTCTTCCCCGCCCTCGCGCAAACGAGAGCGTCACGGTCAAGTCCCTCGTGGCTTTACGCGAACTTGTTCTCCACGTGCGCGCTCCCGCTTCCTCTGCACACCTGGACTCTTTTTCTGTTCCTGGGGGGAAGTTCGGGGGCGGAGATCGGTACGCACCCAGACCCCGACGTCATTTTGTTTAAGTAAGAAGCACCGTCGACCCCCGAAGGTCTCGACCCATTCCCTTGGGCTTGTAGTACTTGTTTTTCAGCCTGAGGGCGTCCGCTGATGGCCGAGGATGGGAGCGCGGGCCGAGAGGGTAGAACAGCAGACGGCCCAGAGCCGAGGCGCCAGCAACAGAGGGGGGACACGAAGGGAGAAGGCGAGCACCGCGATCGGAGGCAAGGCATTCGAGCACATGTCGTTCGTCGCTCTTCTGAGTTAAAAAAAAGCCATATATATAGATAGGTATATCAATGTATTCGCTCGTAGATGGGCATTCGAGCACGAGCATGGTGTCATGGCCGCCGAGGGCAGAGCGAGCTAAAGCCCACAGGAATCTGTGGTGCCAGGGGGGGCGCGCAGGGTACTTGAAGCTGCATGCTGCCCTCGAAGAGCTGACACCAGACGAACGCGTTCCACTACTCGCAAAATGACTACTCGCAAATGGCCTGGATCCGCTGCGGGGAATCTACGGCAAATTACATCGAAACGGACATGCGTTTTTGGGACGTTTGCGAGTAAGCACTTTGCGAGTAGTGGAGCGCGCTCGGTGAGACAAGGGTAGAAAGCGGGGCCAACTCCGAGAAACGTCCTCGGACAACTACGAAAGTGTCCATGCCCGATTCTGAGGCGTCGAGCATTCACTGGCAGACGCCAGCAGACAGCGGCGCGCGGCACATTTTGCCGCGAGCATTCTGGGATATAGTATCAATGTGTCGCTGAAAGCTGCGCCTGGGACAAACATGAAGGGCCGCGGGGATCTCACAGGCGCTCTGCGAAGCTTTCTGGGACTTGGCGGTACATCTTGGGGGGCCTTAGAGGCATCGAGCTTCCGCGGCTACTCCCACCTGCCCTCTGGGCGTAGGTGGTCTAGGGCGGTTTCTCATCCAGCCCCCTTTTTCCTTCTTCGGAGAGGTGTTTCCCGCTCCCCCTGCCCAGGGGAGGGGGGGCTTTGCGAGCAGTCAGGGCATCTAAGATGGCCCAGGACTGCTCCAAGAGGGCCTCAGAGAGCCCGAGATGCCCTCCAAGATGGCACAATATCCGCCGATCCGGCGTGTAAGTTTCTGAGAGCGTGGACGACTTGAGCTCGCTCAAGCTTCGCTCTGCAGGGGGGGGGAAGGACACGTTATTTCCGACGTCATTTCCTAAGTTTTTCGGTGCACGGGGATATTTCCGACGTCATTTCCGACGTTTTTCGGTGGACTTGAGCTCGCTCAAGCTTCGCTCTGCACGGGGGGGGGCGTACTTTATTTCCGACGTCATGTCCGACGTTTTTCGGTACACGTGGATATTTCCGACGTCATTTCCGACGTTTTTCGGTACCCGGGGACAGGGGTGTATAGAAAACTCCACTTCCGGAGCCCCGACCGCCCAAGACAGCCAAAGAGGAAGCCAAGAGAGGCCCCAGAGGTCCCCTAGACAATGCAAGAGGGCCCCGGATCGCCGAAACATCGCTCGAACCGCCCAGTACGCCCCGAAGACAGTTCCAGAAACCTTCAAGACGTCCCCTGGATCCCTCACGACACTTTCCAATAATACCAAAAAACTGACAAAGAGACCCATTCCCTCGGGAAAACGTATAATTTCGGTATATTCGTCTCTTGGGCCTTCACAATGTCCAAGACGGCTCGCTCTCACCCCCCCCGGATCGGCGGCACTGGCCAAAGGCCAACCCAATAGCCCGAGATGGCTCGAGATGGCTCCCAGGATGCCCCAAGAAGCCCCACGACCGCTCCAAGGCGGCTCCTGATGACCACGGAACCCCCCCAGGAGGCCGCCAAGAGGCCAACATCCTTCAACGACCAAAGGGCAATCAATAAATTTCGCCTTCTCGCCTATTCGCTTCCGATGGCCATCCGAGGCTTCAAGACACCTCCAAGAGGGCCCAAGAGGACCCCAAGAGAGGCCCAAGAGAACCCCAAGACGGCCCCAACCGCGCCCCACGAGCCTTCCAAGAGGAGCCCGAAAGGCGATTTGGGGGGCATCCGGGGGGGGGGGGGCTAATGAAGGACCCCCTTCTTTGCTCGAGCTCTTCCGTGATGGCCCCAAGAACGCTTCCAAGGCTCCCGAGTGCGCCTCAAGAGGGCCCCGAGAAACGCCCAGGAGGCTCCAAGAGGCGCCCAAGAGGCCTCCAAGAGACCCCCAACAAAAAAACCCAAGAGGCTCCCGGAGGCACACAAGATCGTTCCAAGAGGGCCCCTTCCTCTGCGTGCTGTCCACTTCCCTGATCGAGGCAACTCCTCTGGGCCTCGTCTCTGGATGGGCTGGCAGGGTTACTTTTTCGGTCGCGTCCGCTAGCGAAGGCGCTAGCGGAGTCAGAAGCGCTACGGGTCACGACAGCGGCCTAATTAGCAACTGAACGCGCCGCGAGCCGGCTGGCCCACTCATCCAGCAGCGGCTGACTGCGCGAGAGGAGCGGCAAGCTGGGGGCGTCCAGGGTGCTCGAGCACTTGCAACACGGCAAACACGGCAAAATGCGGGTGAATTCAAAATGTGCCTGGCAAAACCCAAACGGACCGTGAGGACGATGGCTGTGGGCTGCGTGTCCAACATGCCGTCGGAATGCCCAGACGTGGTAAGCAATCAGCTGGCAGGGTTACGCGAAGCGTCAGGGCTTCCATTATCCTGCAGATGGCGAGGTCCTTGCTGGAAAATAAAAGAATTGATGGCAACGCGGCACTTAGCTGCAGTGCTTGCGGAGTGCAATTTCCGAGCCTGGCTCGCAAAACCAGGCTGGGATCATAATGGGCAGTATGCCGTCGGATAGCAAGTTCTGAGGGCTTCGCCCAGGCGTCTGAAGGGCGGCGCGCCCAGCAACGGTACCACTAACGAAATAAAATCGGAGCGAGCAGCCGCGTCGCATGGCCTGCGACAGGCAAGAATCGAACGTTGCATTGTCCCGCGTTTTTTTTGGGCTCCGGGCCCAAAGTTTGGGCCGCCAGAGACCGCCCTGGGAATTCCTGAATCAGAGCCCTCCAGGGAACGCCGTGGCTGAAACGGCACTGGTGTAAATCTGGAAATGGGCACTCCGAGTGCCCGCGCCCCGGATGGGGGGCCTCTAGGGCGCTATCTCCGTTTTGCCGATTAAAAAACAAGGCCAGTCGCGCGCGCAATTAAGTGGACCTTCTCTAGCACCACGAGAGACTGGCGTGCGTTCCCCGCGAAATCATGCCAACGCCATCGACCAACTCCGAGGCGAACTTCGCAGCCGGGTAACCAACGAAAACCATCGCGTGGATAAGTGCGCGTAAAGCCAAGCAGCACATGGAACCGCCGAGGGGCAACCCTGTTTTGCGCCCCGACTAGTCAGCGATGGCACAGACGACGTACTCAGAGAAGCCCAGGCAATTCAAAACTGTGAAAATCAACGCGTGGAGCCCAGGGGGGAAGCAGCGCGAATGTTGCACCATGCGAAGCCTGTCTCGTCCTCGCCGAGCTGGCGCCACCGCGGCGCGGCGCGAGTCTCCGACTCAAGAATGCTGCTAACGTGTGCCCCTTTGATCGAACCCCCCTGCCGATCATGACTGATGCCGTCGCGAACCCCCTGAGGTGGCGCGTCGTTGGCAAGGGCGGCAATGTCGTCGTCAGCGTTGCTGAGCCACGGGGGGCGAATATCTCAGAGGAGGCTCTGAACGCGCTCGTTATCTGGATCAAAAGTACCTTTCGAAAGGAACATCCCGGAAGGGGGTCGTTGAAGCCTTCGGGGGGCTCGCCGCGACCCAGAGCGCCCCGGCGCGCGCGGTGAATGGCAATCAAGGCAGCCGTGCCAGCGCGGGCGCGGGCTGAATATAGGGGGCCCATCGGGGCATGCGCCCGTGTTCTGGAAACGGCGCACAAACTCATGAAGCTCGACTTCGTCGAGCTCCAACCCGGAGCGGCGGGCGGTCTGCGCGGGGCCCGATCAGCTCCGCGGCAGCTGGGCCGACGTGCGCCGCGGCATGTGCAGCCCCCCAATGGCCGGCAAGTCCTGGGCGCTAACTACTTGGGGGCGGTAGTGTGGAGGGCGGGGGTGGCGCGCGCTTGTCGCGGACCTTCTGTGGCCCAGGGGGCCCCCGTGGGGCCTCTTTGGGGCGCGAAAGGTGCGCCTTTCCCGGCCCCTCGCAATTATCGCGCCTGCGTTGCTGGGCGCCCGGAAATCGAGCGACGACGGCGCCCCGGTCTGTCTCGCAGGTGGCCCGTCCCATCGAGCGCGCGGCCGAAGGGATCTGCTGCCGCGCGAGTCGCCCCGAGCGACCCGGCGTTGCGTCGCGCGCTCGGCAGCGAAGGTCGGGGTCGATGAACTGGGGGCAGACGATGACATCGATGCGCGACCTCGGAGATCCGCGCGGATTCCCCCGGTCGGTGCGAGAGCCCCCTGGCGGCGCCCCCTGCGCGCTCCGCGTGCCGATCCGAGAATTCCGCGCAGACCTTAAAGGGTCAGACGTTTATGTCATCGTTCGTTCTCCGACGAGGGCCTCGGGGAGGGGCCCGCCTCGCTGGGCCGCGCGTGGCCGGCCGCGTCGAAAAGCTCGGCGGAATTAAGCGAGGCGCGGAGGGCGATCGCAATGATGGGAGTGTTGCCAGCAACCATGCCGCGGGATCGCCTTAATGCCTAGTGTGGACATGCCCTGCAGGAAGCATCGCGGCCCGCGCGCCGGGCCCGCCGGGCGCTGTGCGCCAGCGCGAGCGACGCCCTTAACATCAACGGCCGATGTGCCTGGAAAAAAAAACTGTCCACGCCAATGCCGTCGAAAATTATGGCCGCGAGGGCGGGGTGGAAGGGGCTTCGGGGGCCCGTCGCGAAGCCCCTCGGAAACGCGGGGTCGGGGAAGTGGCGCGGGGGGGCACGGGGAAAAGGCCGAGGCGATCAGGGCGCGATTGGATGGGTCCGCGCCCGTGGCGAGACTGCGGGGAGGGGGGTCGAGGCGCCCGGCATAATGCGCGTCGCTGTAGATCGCGCCCCCGACGGTTTCTGAGTTTCGACGTGTCCATGGCGCGCGCGCAGCGGCGGCTGCGAAAGAGCGAGGGGTCCTAGACGAGCTTGAACATAGGGCAGGAGGCGATTCGGAGTGGCGCGCGTTGCCAGAGGGGTCGCTCCTGCTTTTGCCATAAGGTTGAGACTTGAAAATTCAGGAAAAGAATGAGGATCCGCGGGCGTGACTAGCCGAGGCATTCTTGCATTGGCGTTCACCATGACGCCTTGGGGGCGAGGAAGCCGGGGGCTCGGGCGAAGGTGGCGCGATTGGAGAACGCCCGCGGGCCCTGTCCACAACAAATTCTGGCTCCGACTTGGAGCGGGCCGGCGCGCTGGCAACTCTAGAGCTACTTGTCCAACGTGAGGGGAAGAGGGCCGCGTTGCCGCCGCCGCAGGAAGTGGAACATAATGGACCAGGTGCCCGTGCGTGCGCCATCGCGCTTGAAAATGGTCGCCTGCCTGGCCGTTGCATCGCGACGAGCGGCGTCGCATGTATTTGGCGCCCCATCGACGCGAAGGGCGCTGCGCATGTGCGCGCCGCAAACAGCGCATGCAGACGCAGCGCGGGCGCGCGCGCCCGAGTGCGCAGTGGGCGCCGTTCCCTCGCGCTGGCATGGGGGGTCAAAGGAGGCAGGTCAGGGGGGGGGGGGGGGCGCGGAGGGGGGGGCGTCGAATGATGGGATGCAATGCATGGCCGGGGCGAACTGGAAGCATAAGGCTATCAAGAGCTGGTGGAAAAGTGAAAAACGGGGACGACGGGGGAATGTCCGGCAGGGGGGGGGGGGGCGGGTGGGGGTGCGGAGAGCTAGTTGCGGGGAAAAAAAAACAGAAAAAAAAAAAAAAAAAAAAAATAACTAAAGAAAAAAAAAAATAACAATTCGACAGAGCAACGGCGCGCGATTGCGCGCGAAACAGGAGGCGCGCGTCAAAGAGGGGCAAGCTGGGTCCAGCGAGTCGGACTCCTCGCGCTCGGCGAGCTCGGCAGGGCCAATGAAACCCTTCGTGCCAGCCTGGTTGGCGCCGCCCCTCCGCGAACGCAACCGCGCCAGCAGCGATGGGTGCTTTGTCGGCCCCGCCCCCCCCCCCCCCCCTCCCCAATCAAGACAGTCGCGGAGCCAACTGCGCCATGCGGCTCGCCCGACATCGGCAGGCGCTGTAACTAATGCTAGAGGTCCCTACTTGCTGCGCGTCCGTCGCAGGTGCCCTACTATGAAGAACGCGATGGGGGGGGGGAGGGGGGGGGCGCGACGCGGACGTCGCTAGGAGAATCCAGCTGGGCGCGAAGAGTGATCTGGGACATCGAAGCGCCGTCGTTGCGCGCGGTTATGCTCGGGCCGCCCCGCGCGACGAAGCCCGCTGTCTGCTCGACCGAGCGGGTCTCCAGGGCAAAACTGGTTCAAGTAGCAGGCGCGGATCACGACCTCGTCGCGCTTGTCGTCGTGGACGTCGCCGACATCTTGCGCGTGAAATTGCCCGCCCGTGCTCTGGATTGACCGCGATCGGTCTGAAGCCGATCTTACGGTCCTGCAACAGAAGAGCCAACCGCAGATGCAAAGCGGCTGCGCTTGGCGCTCCCGCTGATGGATGTCGCAGCCGGGGACGCGCGCGCATTGGTGGACTCGAGGTCGAACAAGTGGGCCTCGAGCTGCGCCAGTATACCAGTCCGTTGGGCAGCCTGGAGGGCAACGATGGCTTTCTTGTTGGCCTCGCCGGGCCCCTTCTGCATCGCGGCGAACGTGGCGTCGCGGTCATCTAGTTGCTGCTTGATGTCTGGCATGCCGCCGAACTGGTTAGGCGTGCTGTGCGCATCATCCGTCCTATGTTCCATCTCGTGAAGCTTGTCGTGAAGTAATTTCTCGAACTGAGCCTCCGTCGTGGCAGACGTCGCGGATGAAGAAAAAACGCAATTACGCTACCGAGGGGCCCCACGTACTTATATTATGGCTGGAGTGATGATAGCTTAAGTGAAGCATGTGAGAATGATGTTGGTGGCCGTTGCCCCGCCGATACCGTTGGCGACGCCACTCAAGAGGAGGTGGCCGCGCCTGCCACACTTTGCGAGCCCGAAACAGATATCGACCGTACCCCAAACGCAACCCCTGGTGGCGTCGAGAAAATGCCACGCCTGCCACGCTTTGCGGAGCCGAAGCGGATGGCGACCGCACCCCTGGCGCACCCCCTGTGGCAACGCGGCCACTGAACATTTTGGGGGCATGCCTGTGGGCGCCTGCTGTCCTTGAGCATGCTTGAGCCGAGGGGTCTACAGCTAGCCTTGCTGAGCATACTTCTGCCGCATACACGCCTGAGGCACCTGTGCATACTGCCGAAGATACAGACTCCAGAAAATGTCAAGGCTGCTACGCTACTTGCACCCCCTCCGGTGTCATGCCACGCCTGCTAGGCCCTGCGACATTGGCGCGCGTAGGATTCGCGGTGAGAGACCAGAGAAAGTGCCGCGCCTGCTAGGCCCTGAGACATTGGCGCGTATAGAGACCGCAGTGAGAGACCACCCCGTGCGCACCCCTTCTGGTGTCGAGAAAGTGCCACGCCTGCTGGGCCCTGCGACATTGGCGCGTAAAGGGGCTCCGGCGAAAGACCACCCCCTGCGCACCCCCTCTAGTGTCGAGAAAGTGCCACGCCTGCTAGGCCCTGCGACATTGGCGCGTATAGGGACCGCGGTGAGAGACCACCCCCTTGCGCACCCTCTTTGGTGTCGAGAGAATGCAACGCCTGCTAGTGGTGTCGAGAAAGTGCCACGCCTGCTGGGCCCTGCGACATTGGCGCGTATAGAGACCGCAGTGAGAGACCACCCCCTGCGCACCTCCTCTGGTGTCGAGAAAGTGCCACGCCTGTTGGGACCTGAGACATTGGCGCGTCTAGAGACCGGGGTGAGAGACCACCCCCTGCGCACCCTTTCTGGTCTCGAGAAAGTGCCACGCCTGCTAGGCCTGCTAGGCCCTGCGACATTGGCGCGTATAGAGACCGCGGTGAGAGACCACCCCCTTGCGCACCCCCTTTGGTGTCGAGAGAATGCAACGCCTGCTGAGAAAGTGCCACGGCTGCTGGGCCCTGCGACATTGGCGCGTATAGAGACCGCAGTGAGAGACCACCTCCTGCGCACCCCCTCTGGTGTCGAGAAAGCGCCACGCATGCTAGGCCCTGCGACATTGGCGCGTATAGAGACCGGGGTGAGAGACCACCCCTGCACACCCCTTCTGGTCTCGAGAAAGCGCCACGCCTGCTAGGCCCTGCGACATTGGCGCGTATAGGGGCAGCGGTGAGAGACCACCCCCTTGCGCACCCCCTCCGGTGTCGAGAAAGTGCCACGCCTGCTAGGCCCTGCGACATTGGCGCGTATAGGGACTCCGGTGAGAGACCACCCCCTGCGCCCCCCCTTGTGGTGTCGAGAAAGTGCCACGCTTGTTAGGCCCTGCGACATTGGCGCGAGTAGGGACCGCGGTGAGTGACCAGCCCCTTGCGCACCCTTTCTGGTCTTGAGAAAGTGCCACGCCTGCCACGTGCCCGTCTATGTGGGGCCTGTCACGCTCTCCGACGTGTGGTGTGTGTGTGTGTGTGTGTGTGTGTGCGGTGCGATGCGGTCACGCCAGCCGTGCCCTGCGCGCCTGCCCTGTGTGCTCTGCTGTGCTGAGCTGTGCTGAGCAGCGCTGTGTTGTGCTTGGCTGCGCTGTGTTGTGAAGTGTGATACGCGTGTCTCATGTACGTGCCGTGCAGGTGTTGCGCGTGGGCCAGGGAGTGTCTGTGTGTATGTGTGTGTTGTGTCTGTGTGTGTGTGGGTCTGTGTGTCTGTGTGTATGCGTCTGTGTCGGTGTGCCTGTGTAAGTACGTATGTGTGTCACGTCTGCCACGCTTTGCGGGAGAGGGAGGTGTGTGCGGGAGACGCGGGTACGACGCGGCAGGGAATTACGCTACCGAGGAACCCCATATACTTAATTTAAATCATATGTGCTTGCCTAAGTTTATCATATATGCGCAATTCTGCGTTCTCAGCCCTCGTCGCGAATGTTCCTCTCTGTGTCATCCAACGCCATATTGCTTGAACCTGCTCCCTCTTCCTAGCCTTCTATCCTCCATCGAGGACAGATTCGAGCCAGCCAGCGGCCGCGGTGAGGGACCACACCCTGCGCACCCTCTATGGTGTCGAGAAAGTGCCACGCCTGCTAGGCCCTGGCCGACCGTCGTGCATGGCGGCCGCGGTGAGATACCACCCCCTGCGCAGCCTTTATGGTGTCGAGAAAATGCCGCGCCTGCTATGCCCTGGACGACCGTCGTGCATAGCGGCCGCGGTGAGGGACCACCCCGGTGAGAGACCACCCCCTGCGCACCCCCTCTGGAGTCGAGGAAGTGCCACGCCTGCTAAGCCCTGCGACATTGGCGCGTATAGAGACCGCGGTGAGAGACCACCCCCGTGGGCACCCCCTCTGGTGTCGAGAAAGTGCCACGCCTGCTAGGCCCTGCGACATTGGCGCGTATAGGGGCCGCGGTGAGAGACCACCCCCTTGCGCACCCCCTGCGGTGTCGAGAAAGTGCCACGCCTGCTAGGCCCTGCGACATTGGCGCGTATAGGGACCGCGGTGAGAGACCACCCCCTGCGCACCCCCTCTGGTGTCGAGGAAGTGCCACGCCTGCTAGGTCCTGCGACATTGGCGCGTATAGGGACCGCGGTGAGTGACCACCCCCTTGCGCACCCCCTCCGGTGTCGAGAAAGTGCCATGCCTCCTAGGCCCTGCGACATTGGCGCGTATAGGGACCGCGGTGAGAGACCACTCCTTGCGCACCCTCTCTGGTGTCAAGAATGTGCCACGCCTGCTAGGCCCTGCGACATTGGCGCATATAGGGACCGCAGGCCCTGCGACATTGGCGCGTATGAAGACCGCGGTGAGAGACCACCCCCTGCGCACCCCCTCTGGTGTCGAGAAAGTGCCACGCCTGCTACCTGCGGCATTGGCGCGTATAGAGCCCGCGGTGAGATACCACCCCCTGCGCACCCCCTCTGGTGTCGAGGAAGTGCCACGCCTGCTAGGCCCTGCGACATTGGCGCGTATAGGGACCGCGGTGAGTGACCACCCCCTTAGGCACCCCCTGCGGTGTCGAGAAAGTGCCACGCCTGCTAGGCCCTGCGACATTGGCACGTATAGGGACCGCGGTGAGAGACCACCCCCTGCGCACCCCGTCCGGTGTCGAGAATGTGCCACGCCTGCTAGGCCCTGCGACATTGGCGCGTATAGAGACCGCGGTGAGAGACCACCCCCTGCGCACCCCCTGTGGTGTCGAGAAAGTGCCACGCCTGCTGGGCCCTACGACATTGGCGCGTATAGGGGCTGCGGTGAGAGACCACCCCTCGCGCACCCCCTCCGGTGTCGAGAAAGTGCCACGCCTGCTAGGCCCTGCGACATTGGCGCGTATAGACACCGCGGTGAGAGACCACCCCCTGCGCACCCCCTCCGGTGTCGAGAAAGTGCCACGCCTGCTAGGCCCTGCGACATTGGCGCGTATAGAGACCGCGGTGAGAGAACACCCCCGGCGCACCCCCTCCGGTGTCGAGAAAGTGGCACTCCTGCTAGGCCCCTGCGACATTGGCGCGTATAGGGACTGCGAAACGGTGCGATACCACCCCCTGCGCACCCCCTCCGGTGTCGAGGAAGTGCCACGCCTGCTAGGCCCTGCGACATTGGCGCGTATAGGGACCGCGGTGAGTGACCACCCCCTTGCGCACCCCCTGCGGTGTCGAGAAAGTGACATGCCTGCTAGGCCCTGCGACATTGGCACGTATAGGGACCGCGGTGAGAGACCACCTCCTGCGCATCCCCTGCGGTGTCGAGAATGTGCCACGCCTGCTAGGCCCTGCGACATTGGCGCGTATAGGGACCGCGGTGAGAGACCACCCCCTGCGCACCCCCTCCGGTGTCGAGAAAGTGCCACGCCTGCTAGGCCCCTGCGACATTGGCACGTAATAGGGAACCGGCGGTGAGAGACCACCCCCTGCGCACCCCCTCTGGTGTCGAGAAAGTGCCACGCCTGCTAGGCCCTGCGACATTGGCGCGTATAGGGACCGCGGTGAGAGACCACCACCTGCGCACCCCCTCCGGTGTCGAGAAAGTGCCACCCTGCTAGGCCCTGCGACATTGGCGCGTATAGAGACCGCGGTGAGAGACCACCCCCTGCGCACCCCATCCGGTGTCGAGAAAGTGCCACGCCTGCTAGGCCCTGCGACATTGGCGCGTATAGAGACCGCGGTGAGAGACCACCCCCTGCGCACCCCCTCTGGTGTCGAGGAAGTGCCACGCCTTCTAGGCCCTGCGACATTGGCGCGTATAGGGACCGCGGTGTGTGACCACCCCCTGCGCACCCCCTCTGGTGTCGACAAAGTGCCACGCCTGCTAGGCCCTGCGACATTGGCACGTATAGGAACCGCGGTGAGAGACCACCCCCTGCGCACCCCCTCCGGTGCCGAGAAAGTGCCACCCCTGCTAGGCCCTGCGACATTGGCGCGTATAGAGGCAGGCCGCGGTGAGAGACCCCCCCTTGCGCACCCCTTCTGGTGTCGAGAAAGTGCCACGCCTGCCGTGCCCTGCGCCATGGCCTGCATAGAGCCTCCTGCCATCCACTGCGAATCCTACACGCACGTGTTGTATATGGCATGGTATGTGTATGTGTATGATGCGCGTGCGGCTAGATCGGGACGTGTCTCATGTGGGTGCCCACTATGTCGCGCACGCGCCTCAATGGACGCTGCAGTGATCACGCCAGGCGCGCACTAGCGTTGTATGGTGTGTGTGTGTGTGTGTTGTGTGCGAGTGTGTGCATGCGCGCGGACGTATGTAGACGCGTGTCTCATGCACTTGCCGT